TTCAAATAATAGTAGGTAAATGCAAGGAATTCACTTATTGACGACCCCTCGGACGACCCTTAATATTAATTTAGGGTTTTAGTGCCAAAAAACTAATATGTTTTGTGGAGGCACCCGAAATACGCCAATTTTCAACTGGCGCTTAAACCCGAACGGTTCATCGAGGAAAAAAACTAAATATCTGTAGGAAATTTTATGTACCTACTTTCATTTTGAATAGGAAGGTTATTTTCGAAAAGTTGATAGTTTTCGAGTTGTAAGCACAAAACTGACAAAAAATGTCTTTTTCAACTTTTGTTGTATATTTTTCAATGTTGCGTCATGAAATTTTGTTGGCAAACCTCAGATTCGGATTCAGCGCCCCAAAAAACATATAGAATCAAAAAAATCAAAACTACCCCACAACTTTGCTGGTACAAATATAATTTAAGTGGATTATAGTTCCGAGATTCTTACGGATAAACCACCTACAAAATGTGACCTGGGCCAATGCATCAATGGTAATACATTGTATAAAGGAAAGCGAAGTGTCTTGAAACTTTTTTTAACTGGATAATGGCATGACATTTTTTTCGAGAGGATAGTAGTTATACCACATTTTGTAGGTATGTAAGTATTGCTGTGTGCACTGGTCCGTAGGTCAGAAAGATCGTACACAAAACACCAAAACAAAAACCTAGCTAGCTCATCCTTTACCGTTATTTATTATCACGGCACAACACTTCTCCCCGGCACAGAGGAGAAATTCGACTCTGCTTTCAGTTAACCTGTTAACTTCTAACAGTTAGTGGGCCAGACCAAATACCTTAAAGTCCAAAATGAACTTCAATATTTTGAATAATTAAAATGGACCTTGGGCAAGCATCCAATAAAAACATAGGTAAATTAAAAATGATGTCCTTGTGACTGAACTACTTACATTACTTGTCCGGGAATTGTTATCCAAATAAAAAGGTATCTGTACACAAAAACAATTTTTAATAAACACACTTTACACCAACGACCGGGTAATCGCGACATCTCTTCTAGATAAGGACGTTCCAAATAAAAAAAAACTCAACTTCAAACTGAGTCACGTTGACAACACACTTATCGGGGCGCCGACAAACACCTCTCCTTGTAAAACCTTTTGATGCCAAAACTTCAAAAGCGTAGGACAATAACTAGCCGCGAATTTAGCTTACGGCTTCACGAACGAAACTTCTTCCAACTTCAATCTCACATTGGACGAAAACTTTCAATGCTGGCTGTGGCTTCAAATGAATACTAACTGGCCGTAAATCAACGATGGAATTCGCAAAAAGCGAATAAATTCTTCAACGAAACGTACTACTGCATCAACTCTGCCTGAAACCTAATTTAAAATTTTCCAAGAAACGTAACTCTGCTCTGATTGTGGATAAAAACCGATTTTAAATTTCAATGAAACGTAGTTCTTCGTTGACTGTGGCTAAAAGCGACGCTTTTTCTTTTGACTCTTGATGTCTTATTTACGGCAAAAACCCTTCTTCCGAAAATCAAAATTACAACAACCAATAATACACAGTTGACAACAAAGATTTTTATAATTCAATTTGTTATCAGACATTAACAGACTTAATTTTAGGAAAAAACCACCTGACAAGAAGAAAAGAAAGCATACATGCAATATCAACTGAATCAAACATCTGGTAACTCAAGTAAAACCTGGAAACTTTTTCAATCCTGGAATATTCACAGAAAACCAATTCATTCAATAGCGGACGATATCACTGAGCCAAATGCCATTAACAAATATTTTTTACAAACGTCAGATGTCGCAACTGTAAACCACAATAACTTACTTTTTTATCTTCGGAATGTTAGAAGTGATATCGACTCTGAAATGACATTTTGCCCAATAACATGTCAAGATGTTGTTTCCACGATTGACAAGGTGAAATCTAACGCCATAGGCCATGACTCTATCAACCTTAAGATGCTAAAGTTGGTTGCACCGTACTGTGTAGAATACATAACCAACATTATAAATTTTTCTTTATCAACGGGAGAGTTTCCTGATTTATGGAAAAGCTCTTACATTTATCCTATACCTAAAATCCCAAAAGCAACGGAGCACAGTCAATTAAGGCCTATAAGTATCCTTCCAACTTTATCCAAGATAATGGAAAGTGTAGTATGCCGCCAACTAACAGCCCATTTCAACAAATACAATATAATACCTTCAAACCAATTAGGATTTCGTACCAAACATAGCACTTCAACTGCTCTTTTAAGAATTACGAACGACATATTGACTGCTATCGATAGAGGAATGGTTACCTTGCTAGTTTTACTAGATTACAGTAAAGCGTTCGATTGCATTGATCACTCTCTATTATTGGGGAAGCTAAGGTATTACCGTTGTAGTGAAATCGTCATTTTCTGGTTCACAAATTATCTATCTCGTCGTACCCAAAGGGTAAAACTTCAACATCACCTATCGGATCTAGTCTATGTACCTAGAGGAGTTCCTCAGGGGGGTCTACTTGGCCCAATCCTGTTCTGTCTGTTTACATCGGATCTGACATTATGCGCACTACACCTGACGGCAACCTCCACTTATATGCTGACGACACGCAGCTTTATCTTTCTTGCCTACCAGAAGACATTAATACCGCGATCGAGATCTTAAACATTAATTTAATGTGCGTTGCGAATTGGTCAAGTAACAATGGTTTGAGTTTAAACATCAAAAAATGTGAACTTATGTGTTGTGGTTCCAAAACTATGTGTCAAAAAGCCTTATCATTAGTGACAAATCGTGTTTTGATAAGTGACACCGTAATACCCTTTAACCCTACAGTAAAAAATCTGGGTATCTTCCTTGATCAACATCTAACATTTGAATCTCATATCACCAAAAAGTGTAGCCAAGGATATGCCAAATTTTCCTACATGTATAAATTTAAAGACCTTCTACCTGCAAAAACAAAATGGAACTTGATGAATTCGTAGTTTTAAGTAATCTAGATTATTGTTCTAGCGTGTATTTTCCATTATTGACAGCTAAATTGAAACATAAATTGCAAGTTCTGCAAAATTGTTGCTTACGTTTTGCTTATAAAATTAGTAAACAGGACCATATAACAGCCCATTATATTAGCTTAGGACATCTTAAACTAGAACATCGCTTCTATCTCATGTATACTTGCACTATTTACAAGTATACTATAATCAATTTCCTTAGACCAACTTATCTATTCGAATTACTGCAAACTAGACAAGAATTACACACACGCGATCTAAGACATGTTCAACCTCGTCTTCAACGCTACAATATACCAGCTCATGTAAGCCAAAAATTTGAAAGTTCATTTGAATACATAGCATCAAACATACTGAATACTAATATGATTGATTTTACAACGTCCAATAACATTAATTCATTTAGGAGAACTATGAAGAAGAAGCTGTTATGTTTGCAGTCACAACAAATGTCTGTATAAAGAAATATTTATTTATTTTTAAGAACATTGTATAATTATAGCACTCTAATTAATTTACACTTTTTCGACCTCTTAGGGCGAGATTGCAAACCGGCTTGCCGATATCTTGTCCCTTTTAAATAGAATATTGTATTAGTGATTATTTTAGTTTGGAAGCTCTCTTTTTTGTTTTTTTTTGTTTTATATTCTATTTAATAAATCTCTATTATTATTATTATTATTATTAATTAAATTAAGCATTTACATTTGATAACAGACAGATAAAGATGAAACAAAATTCCCAGAAATTTACGTTAAATAAAATAAAAATGTAAACAAAAACAACCTTGAGTGCTTTCTCGTATGACACACATAATCCTCGTGTCGTTACATAGACCAACGACAAATTAATAAAATTTAATTACAAAAGTTAATTACATAAAAAGGAGACCGCCCTTGTCCATCTTGATTAAGATTTCCGAAAATTCCATCCTGACGGACGAAATAAACACAACAGTATGGATAATAGGATAGTCAATAAGTGATGTCATAATAGTCAAAAATTTTCTGTCAAAAATTTTCTAGGCCTACTTAAAAATTTGGAGGGAGTTGTAACGCCCAAACATGAGTGCTCTCCTGATATTTTAAACATCTGATGTAATCTGATCTGATCTGATCTGTAATTTTTATTGTTTTGTTACCTCGAATAGATTTTGTTTTGTTTTTTTTTAATTCAACAGTGAGTACTTGATTGAAATATAAAAACCGTTGATATAAGTGGTAGGTATCTTATTTTCAATCTTATAACTCGTTGAAAACAGAATTAAAAAATCTATTAAGTAATCTAAAAATCCAATATGGCGCCTATTTAACTTTAGGAAGTTCGTAATGTTCCTCAAAAGTAGCCATCTTGAATTTTTGTAACATCAATTCTAAATTGAGCGTATCAAAAACAGTAACTTTTATATAACACTTTTTTATATCTCTTTCTATACACTTTCGATGATATAAGTCACAAGACATTCAAGGAAATGACCAATTTTAGTTTTTTTTGAATTTACGTCGAACTTATTCGACATTTTGACATTCTACAAGGAAATTTTAAATAAGCATCTCAAACTGGAAAACATTGTCCATTTAACCGATTCTCTATCTTTAATAATAAGAAAGTTACCATGCAATCGCACGCGATCTGGGACACACTGTATACCACAGCTGACTCGTCCGGAAACTGGTCCATCATTTTGGAGCCCACTAACAATTAACGCTTGCAAAACAATGCATGTCCTGCATGTATTGTCTTATCATTAAAGAAAAACCATTGATGTTTTTAACACATTTAAGGTAGGTAAGATTTTACACATTAAACAGTTGTATCATTACGTCATTTAGAAATAGCCAATAGAAACAAAGGTATGGTTTCGTTGGTTAGCGACGCACAATTAGCTATTTCTTAATTAACTAATGATAGTAATGAATGTATAAACCCACCATAAATGTATCCATCTCAGGACGACAGAGGGATAATCCGTGAAGTTACGTATACATACTCACATATTGAGTAACTCCCCATCCGGAAACAATACAAGCTCCCGATTGTAAAATTTCTTTTATTAAAGGAATTGAATTTATGGCACTGTCTTGATTTAGCGATAATTCTGAACTCATCTAAAATGAAGTGCATTGAAATCTGATTTACAATCATTCCAACCAATTTTATACTCTTAATAGGGCGATGTCATTAGCCATTGATTCAGAGTCGTAATCTTCATGAATAGATATTTGTTCCACACTTCTTTGAGTACTGTTGGGAAATATACGGACTTCTCTTTGTCCCGCTAGAATAAAGATAGACGATGGGGAATAGGGAACATTTTGACCGTTATAAGACACACAGGCACAATGTGCCGCCGTTAATATGTACAATGGGGCTATTATTGATCCACCGCAGTAATGTTCCTTGGTGTAGGTTTTCCGCAGTCCAACCTGGAATGAAACAAAATCGGTAGATACAATCTGTAACTTAACTAATTGTATTTCTATTTCTTCACAAAACCAAGACATCTTTTATAAGTAAAACTCGTCCTCATTAAAATTTCTACCCAAGAAGTAACAAACGTCATTGTCATATAGGTACCCCATGAACAGTGAATGGCAAAACGCCATACATGAAACCTTCACATGAGGTCGTTATATCCTGTCCATCCTGTATTCAGGTCTTTATAGACGAAATGACCGGATTAAAAAAATTGCAATTTTTTAATCCACGGGTTTTGGATTGACAATTCAACTCATGTATAAAAAATCGCATAAGCCGCAGTGCAATTGTCACTTTGACAGCGGCAAAAGTTACCTGCAACTTTTCCAGCGATTATTTTTTGACGTTTCTCGAAACCAATATAAATGTTCAATTTCAGTCATTCATATACGTTCTAGCCAATCAAAACATTATTATAGTGAGAATAATCTACTTATATTATTCCCAGCCAAGGTTAATAATATTTACATATGAGTATGGTAAATCAAGGTTTACGTTAACGAATAAGATGTTTACTGCCGAAGCGTAGCTGAGGCAGGAATTTCGAAACGAGTAACGTTAACTGATTTAACATACAAATAATGTAAAACATTTTATTTCATACTGCACTTTTTTCTATTAAAATGCCATACAATTTTTGATTAGAATGTTGGACGCATTCAAATGAAAGCAAAAGTGGATCACTTGATTTATTTGATCTGACAGTAGTTTGACACATTAATATATAGGTTTAGATGGATGTCAGTTGATGTTGCTAGGCAACATTTCCAGTCTGGTAAAAATTTTCAGTCTGGTAAAACACGATTTACCAGACTCAAATGGGTCTGGGAAAGCGGCGATTACTAGGTAGTATGAAATAAATAACTATAACCTTGATTCCCAGCGAGAATTTTTCGATGTACATTGTTTTTATTGAATGACAACCACATGACAACTATTTTCTTGATCTGACGCGTCTGTCATAAATTTTCAAGATGCTCGTAAAATGAATCGCAAACGTTTTAGTGAATCCTTTTAGCAATTGAACTCGAAAAACTGTCAACCTAAAAATGCTCCACCTTCGGTGTCGCATTTTTATTAGTTAGGCAACATTTTCATTACCTAAACAACCCAAATTTACTCGGTATAGTAATTAACGTCATAAGACCGGTAAATGAATTGTAACGATACGAGATGAGGCGACGTTAGGAGTAACTGCTGGTTCTTTATGGTCAAAGTATTCAATGATCAAATCGGAACTATTAGTAAGTAGAGTCCTCGTTACAAAGAAAGTCGTCTAGAAATGACTTCCGTGGGGGTTTTGGTGTCACAAGCTGAAATTCACAATAGTTATTTACGTTATAAGTCCGGTAGGTTACTTGTAAGTGCTTGTTCACAATGGACATAAGCATAACAAAAACATAACAGATACATAATTCATAATGTTGAATAGTAGCAAACCAACGTATGTGTTCACAATGATTACATAATTTTTATTTTTTTGTAAATGTTTGCGTATGTTTTATGTCCTACCGAAACGGTACATAAAAAATACATAAAGTTGGGTCGGTTTCAACTTTACGTAGGTTTTATGAAAAATCTAGTGGAATTAGGTGTATTTCTGTTGGGTACAAAGACGCAGCTGTTGGTTTGACATTTCAATTACTACGTCTAACGTCGATGACATCTCTTCTGCCAACATAATCTGGTTATTTTTAAATTGGTACATAGTTTTTGGCGCATTATTTCATAGTTTGGTGTGGTTTGGTTCTTCGTGTGTTGTTTTTTGATTATATCCAACACGACATGGAAAACGTATAGACGTCGAATTATTAATTAGTTTGGTGCGATTAAAACCCTAATTGTTTAATAAAGGGGACAAAAGATATAAGGTTAATAGGTGATCGAATAATCCTGGTGTATGAAAAAACCATATTCTTCATCATGCAGCTTCATTTCTAGACAAGCTTAAATTCTTAAATTCTCCCCTTTTCTCTCGGTCTCGATTTATAGGTCTGACCCACCAACGCCGTTTTTGTTTTGTAACAACTTTGTCTCTGTGTCTTCATAACAGTAAAAGCAATAAAACTGTTGAAATTTCCATCTCAGTGGCACACACATATACACCACAAATAATATTGTTATGTTCTTGACGTTTTGATTTGCGCCTACGCAGATAATTATAATCTTACGGTCACTGTGAACACTTTCTCCACCTGCGTAAAATTATGTCTTATGTCAATATTATGTTTTATGTATCTGTTATGTTTTTGTAACGCTTATGTCCATTGTGAACAAGCACTTACAGTACGAGTTAGACATTATGGACGAGGCGACGTCAGGAGCCGAGTCAAGAATGTCTTAAACGAGTACTACCGGACGTATATCGTAACGTATTTTATATTTCATACTGTAAGTCTGTTTTGTATCATTATTTCATTTCAAAGATTACAAACTTTCATTATATTGTAAAAATCGCATTACCTTGTTTCTGTGGCAACGGCCGTTGCTATAGTTTGTAGTTTGTTTACATTGAATTTTTTTCACTAAAAATGGACGCTATAAACGTTGTGGGATGTTCCACTGTTCCCGATACAATCCTGTCGAAATGTCATGAAGCAACCGAAAAGTTGGTTCCTAAGAAGTCGGCCGCAAGGTATGAAAAAGAGTACTACGTGTTTTGCCAATGGAGGAACGAACATGGGGCGAAACAAGTAGAGGAAACGTCATGTTGGCATACTGTTTGGATTTAGTAAGTTTTTGAATTGAGATTTTTTGCCTGGGTTTCGGTGTTAAAGCGTCATGAGGCATGGAAAAGCTCATCGACGGCAGAAAAATACATCGAAGGCTCGGTAGAAGGAAAAGTTCAGATTGCCCGTATGATACAACTGATACAAGGCGGCGAAAATGTCATTGAACTTCTACAGCAGAAGGAATCAAACATTACTAACCGACATCCAGTAATAACCCAGGCGTTAGTGTTGAGGGCAATACAAATTGTTTCATTATAATCAATGTTAATGTTTGAAATAAAGAATTACAGCCAAATTTAATTAATTGTGTGAAGATGTCAAATTTGATGTATACGTATAACAGTTCGGTAAGTGTTGCTTAGCGACACTTACCGGCTCTGATGCTGTAACTAATAACTCACCTACCGGACTCAAAATGATAGTGTAATCGAACATATACCGGACAGTATGAAATAAAAAATGAAAGGTCATCATATACAATGCGATCAAAAATGAGTTGCTGTCGAGTCGCCTTTGGAATTTTTGTTTACATTGTAAATCGTACTTAACATGAACTTCCAAAGGCGACTCGACAGCAACTCATTTTTGATCGCCCGTTACTTATTGATACTCAGTGATTTGCTTTAAATAGGTATTAAACTTCATTTTAAGAGACTTTATTAACACATTGAAAATTGATTGATTCTAAATTAATTATCAGTCAATAATTTTTAAACTATAGTAACGCACAAACAAAACTAACATTCGCCATGGTAAACTGTTTAAATGTTTGAATGCTTTCATATTCAACAATACTGATTCTAAATGTCAAGGCCGTCCAAAATCGGTCCATGCATTAGGCCACAAAACGCGAAAAACGAGTTAAGCACATGTACGGAAAGAAGAAAAAATATCGAATTTTTTCGTATATAAATCAAAATGTTCTTTGTACAGTGAAAGTAATAAGAAATTATCAAACATTTCGAATTACATTGGGTCTTACGGAAGAATTAAACTTCAAACGCGATTATCTCAGTTCGATATCCCTAAAAATTTGACAAATTTTGAGCAACTTTTGCGTTTACATCGTATTATTTAATAAACGGAAGCCTAAATCAAAAAGTTTTACTCTTAAAAAAAGTTTCGCTCATCGTTTATCTTTATATTGCACTGAGAATTATAATTTTATCTACAATAGTAACCAAAATATGTAATTAAAAGAAAAACAACGAACTTTTTACTCACTTCCAAACGAAGCGCTTTCGTTTCGGTGAATACAATCCAAACAGACCAAACCATAATTTTAGGAAACATAAAAAAATTGTAAGATACAGAACATCGCCTTATCATTGAATTACTTACAACCCCAGATATCTTTTTAAATGTGTCATACTAAATGATATGCACTTAATAACAAAACAATAATAGTCCGGGAGCTAGCGTCCTATTTGACCGGACCATTTTCGCAAAGTTCATCTTTCTACTATAGATTTTTGATCCATAACCTATCAACGATAGGGGCGTCAGCTGGTTCAAAAGCGTGGCTTAAGATGGCGAGAGACTGCGAAAGACGTAAAAAAAAATTGTTTTTCGGACCATTTTCGCAAAGCTGAAAATGGTATATATAATAGTGTACAATGTAAAAAGAGGATAAATAACTGTCAGCTGATATTTAAATGTGGCAAAACCTGTTAGCTGGGCGTCCAAAGTGTAGCGTAGCTTTAGCGCGCGCTAGCGCACGCGGCGACTTTGAATTTTGATGACCCAGCTAACACATTTTTCCACGTTGTCGTGTCAGCTAACAAGTGGTTTCCTTTTTTTTGTGCCATAAACTGATGAGGTACTCATTTTCATGCATGCTAATGTCATATTATTGGAGAAAAATGTGATTCAAAGAGAATACATGAGTAAAATGGTATCACATACTGTATAATAATATTATACATGAAACATTGTATTTTATAATTTGTAACGTGCATTAAGGACATATAATAAATCAAAATAGACAAAACAAACCAAAAAAAGGGAAACTAATAGCCCTAATCACGGCTGCGGCTGCTCACGGAGAGACTGTAGGTATGATTGTATGAGATTATCTTTCAGGCGCTACTAACTTTTATTTCCCTGTTAGGGAGCCGTGTCCAAAAATTAGAAAATAGCCCTCTTGTGGTCGAGGAAGCTAAGGAGAAAATAAGACAAACAGTGGAAGATTGTTTAAATATAAAACAGATGCTTCTAAAATAGTTCCATTTGCACTCGAAGATATACATTTGTAAATATACGTATCTCGTCCAGAATCAGGTGTCAATTGTGAA